AGTGTATCGTCTTCCTCAGATAAGGGCATACTGTACCGTGAGGCTGTGCACAACAGCACAAGTGTGTTCCTGTTTCTTGTTTGATTGCCCATGATGGGAAATGAACATGATGCTTCTGTTTCTGTGCTTTAGAGTTAACATCCTACCGTGGTGCACGTAAGCATGAACTGGGTAGGCTGCAGCTTCTTGCAGGCCTTATTTACTGCAGTGGATCATCTTCAAAAGGACCTGAAATTTATTTCTCATGAACAAGAGGAATAGATGTTTGTTTCTGGAGCACAACAGTCACAAAGTGAAAAAGGTTAGTTCCATTGATCACTTTGAGTGGACACAGTTTCATTTCTGAACCTGAGGAGAGTAATCAATTTTATCCTGGATGCCATATTAAGATTATGCAGTACTACGTAGCTGACAGATGCATCCCATCCTGGAGCTGAAAATCTGGGGTAGGTGGGTTTGTTACCCAGTTCTCCTGTATGTAGCAGTTGCCTTTTAAATACTTAGGGAATATTTAGAATTCCAGCTCCTGTATGTAGCAGTTGCCTGTGTTTAAATACTTAGGGAATATTTAGAATTCCAGCTGTTTGATTTCACCGAGAGTTAGCCAGTTCTGTTTAGTGCTTCTCTTGTATATTTGCTCCTTAGGCTCCCAGTCATGAGAGTTAGCCAGTTCTGTTTCGTGCTTGTCTTGTATATTTGCTCCTTAGGCTCCCAGTCAGTGTGGCTCAGTTCTTAAGTCTGTAGCGTGGCAGAACTAATGGGAGTAGTCTGCACTTGATACACACAGGAGATAATGCAATAAACATAGTCTAAGGGGTGTGGGCTCTCAAGATGAATCTAGTGAAAGGTACCCATGTTGAGGGTAGGAATAAAAGAGGTATTAAAATAACCTGGTTGCTCCTACTACTTGGATTGAATGCCTCAGACAGTAGAAGCTTTCTTTGTACCGGTCCTGATGCTATAATTGCAGAGAATTACTTACAGCCCAGTTCAGGCCACTCGCTAATACCAAGGTTTATGTTGTGAAGGCTAGCACGGTACTTAACAAGTACCTAACCCTCTATGCTCGTCCAGCTCAAAATCACTGTTACAGCAGTTGCTGCTGACGTTACGCATCTTAACGCTGCTGTTTTAAACAGGCCAGGCCATCCTAGGCCATGCCGGATCAGTTGTGACTGTCAGTGTTAATACAAGGTGGGAAGGTGGAAATAAAAAAAGGCCGATGCTGCCTGCAGGTGGCGGTCTTGAACACCAGTGACTGCTGCTCTCTGCACAGCGAGGAACCCTTCTGGGAAGAAGGGAAGATCTTTTAAAATCACTGAATTAACCCAGCCGCACAGCTTACTTTAGCACTTTGCTTGACTTGTCTGAACCAGGAAAGAGTAGGTTAAAAATGCTTCCTTTTGCTCGCTTCAAAGGGTTCACATTTCTATAGGAAAGAGAAGCCTTACAGTGAGGTAGAAACAAGTTAACTTCTAGATGTTTAAATCCTGAAACACCTGGGCATCTGTGAGATAATAAAGCTGTACTGCCTGCTGGTACTTAAGAAAGCCCATTCTAATGTTGTTTTCAAACAAGGAGTTACATTCTTCTCAAGTAGAAAAAGAAGACCGTTTCAGGTCATTTTTGTGAAAAATGCTTAAACTGAAGCAAGCACCTTCACTACAGTCTGTAATTTTCCATTGCAAATCTTTTTCCTCTAAAATTTCTTCTCCTCTGGACTCCCAGGTTGCCTCAGCTGTCAAAGATTCATGCCACGAGAGAGCAAACAGTGCTGTGAGTGCTGGGCTGGCAAGCAGAGTTCAAGCTGAATCTGGTGAAGCAATTTTCTGTGTGCAGGCTCCACGTGGCTCAGGGCGCTGCAAAAGCTATGCAGAACTTCTCAAAGTCCCTTGAAGGGGAAGAAGTCAGCCCTGGCAGCTACTTACCAGTAGTTACAACTTCATTCTAATGATTTTCCTTTAATAGAAGTAATGCACTATTTTCTCTTACAATCGGTTTTGCTCTTATAGATTAAAAAAAACCCTCAGCAGTTGGATGTGTTTTGATAAGAATCTTTCTTTCCTACCTTGATGTCCGATAGTACATCCCAACTCATGAGATTTTTTTTCTTGCAGTTAATACTGCTCTATTTTTGGCTCAAAAAAAAACCCCCACCTGGGTTTTACCTGGGGCAAAATGTGCATCTTTAAAGTACCGTGGAGTTTGTGTGGCCAGTCTGACTGTTAATCACAGACAGTTTAATAAGTAAGTTGCATTTTTGCAAAACAGTGGAACTGTCTGGTGTGTAAGGGACGGTTTTAGTGAGTTGTCAAGATTTTGGTACAGTCAGCCCATAGACTTTGTTTTCACATCATTTTCATAAAATAAACGCCACTTTAAGGAATGACAAATTTGAACAAACTTTATGGGAGAAAAAAACCACCTCATTAAATCCATGTGTGGTGACATTGTGGAACTGCTGTCTTCCCAAATGCAAGTGTAGGAGGCCCTCAGCTCCAGGCTCAGCCTGTCCATTGGTCCTGGCCATCCCACCCACCTTGCAGGACTTCCCACTGTCCTTGAGCCAGCAAAAGGATGGTGAAGTAAACCCAAAGAAGGCAGCAGTACAGCTATGGAGAAGGTATCTTTAGATTTGTGGATAAAAGGGGTGCCCACTCTTTCTTGGCAGTTTGACATCTAAACTTTCAAGCATTATGTTTAGCACTTTTTCCCAGCTGGCCCACATATTACAGCACATGTTAAGACAACAGAGCAAGTGTCACTGAGAGCACAATCACTGTAGAATTACTCATGATACATGAGTATACCAGAACAAAATGTGCCTTTTTCACTGGTTTTGCCAGAAATAGGATTTTCCTGTGCTGTACATCAGCTTGTTCTACTTAGGGACTTTAGCGCTTTGATTCCCAACAGTTAAACATCCTAATGTCGAAAAAAACTCTTCCATTTCCTTCTGCAGGAGGTGATTTCTCTTCTCGGCATCTTCACGAGCACGTTCAGAATTCCTCAGCTTTATTTCCAGCATGGTGTATTTCTTTCGTTCTTGGTCCAGTTCTTCTTCTAACCTAACCACTTGTTTCCTCAGGTCTGCACTTGTTTCTTCAATTCTTAAAACCAAAGGAGAGAGAGAGAGAGGGAGGGAGAAAAAAAGAAGAGGGTTTTTAAATGTCTGGATAAATACTACTGGTAGCTACAACAAATTGAACTCGTTCCACTTGGAGCTAAAATATCTTCATTCTAAGAGGAAGTTTTAAGGGAGGGAGCTAATTGCCATTTCATTAATGTTGAGTTTAAGGGCAGAGGCTCATTCAAAGCCAGAGCCTCCTTTATTTGTATCTTGAGAAAATATGCTAAAGCCTTACCAAAAAACGCTTCTGTTTGGGCGACAGACAATGCCTGAGAAGATGCATTACTTCCTCAGGCTGATTTCAAATACATAATTCCTAAATAAAACTTTGGCTTCTGTTTTTCTGCTGGTACTGTGTTTCACTGGATGGATATCCAGCCGAGAGGAACATCCTCAGAGGTCAGGTAGGAATGAGGACGCAGTCCTTCCTCACCATCCCCAGTATGGTATTTTCTGTGAAGTGTGTCCCTGACAGTGGGGTAGGGGAATGGAGGTTTTTCATACTGTATGAGATCTTACAAAAAACACTTCCTATGAGGAAGAATCTGAAGATCAGACTTTAAATTTAATCTGTGCACAAAGCTCTAGTGCAAGACTCGGAGCTTTCCTCTAAGGAGGTCAAAGAACCTGTTTTGATTGGAAACAAGCACAGAAGTCACATCACTCGCTGTCCTCCACACCACGTTTCCTAAGCGCAAGACAAGAGTCGTAGTGGTAATGCAGAGGAGGGAGTGCATCGAGTTAGTTAAGAATTTCTGATCACTAGAATGATTCAGAAAGCGATTTTAAAAATTGGGCTTTTCCTGGGGAATGTGTCCCCCCTCTAAACCAAAACCAAACAACACAACAAGCCATCACCTCTTTGGTTCATTGACCAGTACAACATCCAGCTGTGGAGCTGAGGTGCCTGGCTTCCCTGTGAAGCTGTAAATGAGTTATTTTTAGACAGGGTAAATGACACTCAACAGGGGCATGCTACAGACTCAACAGCAACAAAAAAGGGACCTTTGTGACAGTCTCAGAAGGGTCTGAATTCCAGTTTGTGACCACCAAGAGGCAATTATGTGGGCAAGGCAGTGCATCTCCTTAAACTGTTCCTTCATCTATCTCTAAGGATGGCAATATTATCATTGCCAGAGTGTTCACAACAAATTAGAAGGTCACATGCAGGTGCAAAAATCACCAAGTCCAACAGGCCAACGCCTGCACTGAAGAGTGAGCAGGAAACCTGCCCCTCTTGGTGAAGGCAGACTTCTATCACCCCACTAGCTGGCTTCTGTAATACCAGAGGATTCTTCTACAGCGAGGGTGCTTACACGCACACAAACATGCACACACACTCTTTATAACATTTTTGTTACATCCTACGGCTCTGAGCTACCAACTAAAATTTTCCACCACAAAGTTGGGTCAACTGCAGCAGCCTGGACTAGCTGTCCATGTTCTGAATTACAGTGTCACAGTACTTCCTGCATTTCTGTACACACAACCTTACAGTCCTCTCCAAGATACTTCCAGTTTCTTAAAGAGTCCCAGGTGGTAAACATGAATTACTGCAACTCAACAGAGAATGCCTGATAATTATCCTGACCTCGAGGGAGAAATGCTCTGACACAGAGTGGTTACAGGAAGGCCATAAAACTTGCCTCCCTCTGAGTAAGAGAGGGAAAATGGGCAGTTGATGATGATAAATAACAGCTTTTCCATCAGCAAGTGTTCCTTACCTCTGCCCCAGGCAGGTACTGACTGCTTTCTCTCCACTTATGTATGTGCCAACAAAAAAAAAAGCTCCTACTCCTTCATTAAAACATGCCTTGCGACACACGCTGAGCTCTGCAAACCACACAAGCACATGTACAATTGTAAAGCAACTAATTATTACTTTTGGGGACTAAATTATCTTCAATAAAATAAAGCTAGTGAGGCAGCACAAAGCTTTCTTGCTATGCAGCCTCCCTTCTTTGCTAGCCAGCTCATGTCCTTCCACAGGAGCAAACTTTAATGCAGTTTCAAAAGGAACATATTTTTGCACATGTAAGTTGCTGCAGATGTAATAAAAACATTGCAGAATTTTTGAGAGCTGAAAAACTTGGCTTGAAATTCTTAGACTTGACAGCAAGATCCTTCGGGCTGTAATCCTGAACAGCTGGAGTCATCCTGTTTAATACAAAACAGCAGTGATTGCATCTTGCCTGGTTTTATGAAACTCAGTTCATTAGGCATTTTCCTCTTGGCTAGTTTGCCCTGTGACTCCTGGCCAATTCACAGTCCTCCTCTCCAGCACAGTGCTCCCTGTCCTGTCCAGCTGAAGAGGAAAGGCAGGTGCTGGAGCAGCTGGAACAGCTGGACTGAAGAACAGCTCTTCCTAGATATCCCTGATTCCAACAGCTGAAGGCCCTGTTGGAACAATTTCACTGATAAGAGGTGGAAAGCCGTCTCTTCCCCCAGACAGCAGGTAAAAATGTGCAGATACACCGTGCCAAGCTTTGCAGCCTGGTCTCCTTTATGTTTATTACTCCGTATCCCTACAACAAGGCTTGCCAGGGCAGCTCTGCAGGTTTAAATGCAAGGCATATACCTTCATTTCCCTCCCATTCTGCATCAGTAGGGCAGCTAAAAAAAAACCAAAACAAACCAAAAACCCAAATAAGCCATGAACTATCATCAGACCTTTTCCAACACACCATGCTAGCAACCAGTGTTCTCGTTAGCTCTTCTACCTGGAACACAAGGTGCAGATGAGCTTTTGTCCCACACTGAGGTGTTAGAGGGGAACTGAAACCCCTACTTGGCCCGATTCTCCTTCCAGCTTCACATACCAAGGTGGGACAATGCAAGAGGCAGAAAAGCTGCAGAGGCTGGCAAGCCATCACCATAGGAAATCATCATAAAATAAAGCAAGACAGTAGCAAGTGAAATTCCTACCTTAACAGCTGGCCCACTGGGAGAGATCACAGTTCAGATCCATTTTTGAGAAATAACAAGAAAAAAGAGACAACAAGCATAGCCTAAAGCTGTGCTATACAATCCCTACAGTCACATGTGCTTTTGGGATGCTGATTGGAAATTGAGGCATATAAATGCTACCAGAGTTTTAAAAATTGAAGGAGTATAACATTAACACCTTAACACACAAAAAAGCTGAGAACTTGGACTCTTTGTAAGCAGTGGGACTACAGCCCTTCAGTGTGAAGTACCAGTGCTGCAGAGCTCAGGCCAACCATGATTCTTCTGTATTGTAACACGATGTGCAATTTTGCATATGGCTGTATGTTAAAACATAACTAATTGCTTTAAGCAACAATATTTCACGTGCTTATTTCCCTACTTGCCCGTAAGTCATTCTATTAAGCACTTAGTACTCCCATAAAACCCAATAGACTGAGTCACACAAACTAATAAACAGGACTTCCTACCTGCTAATACTTCCTCAGCCCCTGTCCTCACACACCTCTTTCCCAAACACTGGAAGGAATTTTTCTGAGCACAGATTTAATGAGCAGCACCAGCAGCTGGAGCTGTGCAAGTGAACATGAGAGCAGGCAAAGAACTGCCCAGTTCACACGTGTGCTGTGCAGGCAGCACCTTGCTGCCTCTTGAAGCCACTGGCTGGCCATAGGAGCAAAGTACTACTGCAAGTACATAAGAAATCAGATAATAGGTTTCTAGAAGTTCAACACAAAAAGACTGCTGACAAGGTTCTAGCTGAAATGTAGTCCAAACACCACCACTACCAAAAAAAACCAACAAACCAACCCTGGAGAATAGTCAGGATCAGGTTACTGAGGAATGTTTCTGTTGGGAAAAGCAGCAAGAAGCCCTCAATTTCAGCCTGATTTGGTACAAATCTCAGCACCCACGCAGACCAACAGCGTTCTTGCTGAGGCCTGACCACCCTCGGTCCCAATCCCTACCTCTATCATGTTTGCTTTGCTGTTTCTCCCAGGACACTGATGAAGAACAGACTTTGGCAATACCTGTGCAGTTCTGAATTCCAGTGAAAACATAGAATGTTAAATATTGGAATTCCCTGTGTGGCAGAAATCCCCCCTCTTTTTTTTTTTTCCTTTCTTTGATCCTCTCTTAGATAAGAGAGAGAAAAGTTGGATTCAGAGAGCAGCAAGGAAAGAGCAGAACCAAATCTCCCGACTCTTAAACCCAAACTCCAAGTCTGAGAACCTGATACGCTTGGTAGCGCACACCCACGTTCAAACAGGGCTAATGCTGACAGACAACTCCCTGTCGCCTCTGCAGATGACGTTACCTTTTGATACTAGTCTCATACTCAGTCCTCTGTTTGCTCAGTTCTGTCTTTAGCTCCACCACCAAGCTCTGCAAGGCCCTGGAGCATTTGACAGAGTCTCTGGAAGCCGCAGCAGGGTTGCTTTGTTCACTGCTGCTGGTGCTGCATGCGTCAAACCTGTCGATGCTGTTCTCTAGATCTGCAGTCTTGACCTCACTCTGAGACAGCGAGCCCTGAGTTACCCACTCCGTTTTGAGAGAGCTTAAAGCAGAAGAGTCACTGGCCCGGCAGGCCGGACAACTGCTGACCGAGTCCACCACGGAGATTTCACACGACGACGTAGACCACGTGGTGCTGGCCATGCTGTGAGTGCTAAGGGAGAGGCTGGACGAAGGGACGTTGTCGTACGTAGAGAGTCTCTGGGAAGAACACGAGTCTTTAACTCGCTCCCCAGAGGCTGTCCGGCGATGGCCTCGGAGGGAGTACAGTCCGTTCATCAACCAGTTCCCACCAGAGGAGAGGTTGGGGATATCTAAGGATGAGCTGCCCAGTTTTGGACTCACAGACCGTGCTCCCTGCTGGCGGAAGGAGTATTTCCACGGAGGTAGCGTCTGCACTCTTTTGCTGGGGCTGGTGGCAGGCTGAGTCAATTTGCCACTGTGCTCTGAGGGAGTGTTTTTCACCGCAGGTCCAGGGGTGGCCTCTAGTGCCACAGCATTGCTAGAAGACAAATCAGCGGGGCCGGGAATGCTGTTCTCTGCCTTGCTGTCCTCTCCGTCCTCCTCAGAGATCCACTCCACAGTGCTGCGTTGACGCACAGGTCTGATTTCCAGCTGGCTCCCTGGCACATCTGCCTGAGGAACAGCAAAGATTCGCCCCTGTTCACTTATCAGCACTGTCATCAGGTGCTGAACTAGCGAGGTGCCTGTGGGGAGAAGACAAAGGCAAGCAGTTGGTGAGACGTGGAAGACCCCAGACACTAACCTGTCCTGTGAGATGCCCTGTGAGGCAGGGCTGTGGCCACCATGCACTGCAGGTGTCTGCACAAACAACTGCTCTGGGCCTTTTTGCACAGGATGACAAAGAGACAGGAATTGTTCCCTTTGCTGGAAAGGGGGACTGTGAAGGAAGCAGGTATCGGTGCAACCCATTAACGTAGCTGACTAGCAGAGTACAAATGATCCCTAGCAACGATAAATAAATTGGCCTGCTCAAGGACATCTTTGAGGAGGACACCCGGAAAACAGGGCACGTCTGTACCACACCAAGGCACAGGGTGCAGAACCAGCATCAGTCTCAGTGTGGACATCCATGCGGGACAGCATAGCCCCGTGCAGAGATGCATGCCAGCTCCTGTGCGCACAAACCTGTTTTCAGGGATGGAGCACCTCTCTGTTCAGCTTCCAAAACCAGCAGGTTTCCACACCTCTGGTGCACCCATAGTCTTATCAGGCCCAGAGCTAGTATTTGTTGAATAACCATAAATTTCAGCTTGGGCCTGCTGCTGCACTCAGTGTATTGAGAAACTTACTTACAGAAAGCATAACATCTGTGTGATACATGCATCTGCACAAGGTGTACAGCACGTACAGAAAGAACTTGCACTTATTTAAATCCACAGAGAGAAGCTGTCACTGTTTTCCCATAGTGGAGAAGACCATTATGAACCAATAAAGAACACCACTTACCAAACCTAATACAAAGCACTTTCTACAAAAGAGAAAAACCTTAAAAAGAGAAAACATGTAATTAATTCTATCTTTAATCATTGTCTGAAATAGAAAATAAGACCAACATATCCAGGTGTTCAAGACAAAAGCCTGAATTTAATAATGAGGTTTCGACCTGATAGCAAAAAGGGACTGAGCTCTCCTACAACTTCTATTTTATGTCTGTGAGTGCAGGGAGAGATAAGACCAACATATCCAGGTGTTCAAGACAAAAGCCTGACTTTAATAATGAGGTTTCAACCCGATAGCAAAAGGGACTGAGCTCACCTACAACTTCTATTTTATGTCTGTGAGTGCAGGGAGAGAAATAAAATAAATCTCTCTGGAAATAAGGGCACTCCTAACAATTTAGCTGTCAAACTTCAGATATTTCTATTTGAAGTTCATGTTTTAAATGTGAGAGAGACACCACTGAAGTGTTTTTTATTAAGAACTGGCAGTGGTATTTTCCTTTATCAGTTGATTTAGCAGATCTGTATTATCCTGAAGGTAAAAAAAAAATAAAATTGAGTCTTTCCACTTCTCTGTTACTTCTATTTAACCAATCTTCTATACTCGACTAACAATAAAACAAAACATTCTCAGTGCTGTTCCTTATGAGGATAATGATGAAGTCTAAAAATCCACTCACTAGATCCCCATTTTTCTACAGTTCAGGTCTCTGCTAATACAGAATTCCAGGTCACTTCACTGTTATATTTTCATATGATGATTAGGAGACCATGAGACCACATCCATGGTGCCTGTGCACCTACACACAGTACAAGCACCCCTGCCATCAGCTGAACTGCACAATGAAACACCTGAGATGAACCAAACCCAAACTTGTCATCTGTACCAGCTGAGCATGTTGCTGCCCAAGCTGTAAGACTCGAACCATCGCTGCCCAAATGGCCACTAGGGGAAGTCACAGCATCACGCAACAAATTGAGGCTTTGGCTACTCCCAACTTTAAAATGCTGGAAAAACTCAGCAACTACTCCCGCACTCCCTTTTTCTCCTCTCCACATTTTTGCATCCCTCCTCTCCGAGGGGGTCTCTATGCTGACCTAAGTAACACACCCCGCTTCTCTGTGGCAAGCTTCAAGTCCCTGAACAACAACAGTGTGTCAGGCCGTGGTCTGAAGTTGGCCGTTGCCTTACAGCAAGTTGCCACCTGTAAGGCACACATCTGCAGTGCTTTTCAGAGGTCACTTGTGTAGAACTAAAGGCGTTGTTGCTGCTGCAGCGTGATAAAGCTGGCACTGTGTGAAGGACTTCCACCACGTAGAACACCACATCAGCTGTCCCCTACAGCTAGGGAGCAGTGCCAGAGCTGAGTTCAAACATCCTGGGCTCCTGGGCACAGCATCTCCATCTGTGCCTAACACTGTATGAACCCATTAATTCTTTTTGCAGGCTTGCCAAGTTCCCACAAAACTTGAAGCAAAAACTCTGCTAAATTTTGCCTCACAGTAGTTGCTCTCCAGTGCCACCTGGGAGAAGAGCTGGATCACAGCCCTAAGTGTCAGCCAGACAGAGATCATGTGCTGGGCACTCCCTGACCCATACGGAGGTAGATAATTTTCAAGCTTCGGATAGTTATTTCCAAAATTATCAGAGATGTTCAATTCATTCCTTGGGTTCTGTGAAGTTCTGACCCATACACAGTCTGCTTAGAAGACAACACTTCTAAGACACCTAGTTACAAGCACCGTGGCACAGTAACAACTACAGCACCTCTTTCATTGTGGGCTGGATGTCCTTTACAGGGAGCTGTCTAACCACCGAAATGCACCAACACTGAATGAGAGCAGTTTGGTACCTAAACATGGTCCTTCTGAAGAGCTTTTGAGCTTTCATTGTAGCAGTGCATTCAAAAAGATTTTCACAGAACAACTTAGAACAGGGCAGAGGCATCTCCATGAGGTAGAGAGGAGAGATACTACCAGGTTAGTGGTGAGTTGGGTAAGAGAGGCCAACCAGTCCATCCCCCCACAGGCACTGCTGAAAGCGACTGCCTGACTTGTTGCTGGCTGTGCCGTCAAGTGAAACATCTACCAATGAAGGTATGGCATTCAGCATACTCTTACAGCTCCAAAACACAGTCGCTGTGTTCTCTCACAAGCGTAATACCTACCTTCCATCATGGTCACTGGGTCTTCCATTTTGGGTCGTAATATATTTGGTCCAAATACTGTAGCCAGGTTCTGGACGCTCATCTTGTTAATGCTGGAATGAGCCTGAACTTCATCAAGGAACCTTGAAAAGCCCCCCCAGAGAAATCAAAGGAGGAGAAGAATAAGAAGTCACATCTCATACTTAGATTGGAGGCATTCTGGGGCAGGAACAGTTTTGCCCTGTGTTTATACAACCCTGATACCTGAAATGCTTCTAGGGAATAATGCAGCTTAGGTACTCAATAATAACCCCAAATCTCTCCTAGTGTATGAAAAAAAGAGGACAAGATGATTTCTGCCAAAAGTAGCAGCCTACCAGTGATCTAGCCTTCTACTGGGTATGAAAGGACAGATTTCCACATTTTTATAGGACCTTCTCCAATCACACAGATGGTCTTCTGCCAGTGTTCACTTACAGATGTAACAGAAGTAAAAAGACACTTCACATTTCTCATCCTAGAACTAACAGCCTGTGCAAAGATACAGATAAAGAGGTAGCCCAAATGCGTCTTGTAAATGCATCACCTGGGCAAACATCAACACATGAAAAAAGACCAGGTAAGCCAAAGACAGCACGTGAAGAAACCCAGATAGACTGGCTATCCCTGTGTATAAGCTGGAAAACAGCAGAAAGTTTCTAACAGTTAATGATTTTGTAAATTGGAACTGCCTCCGAATAGGAGTTACAGTAAGAGAAAAGCTATAAAAAACCCACTTAAATAGCTTGCACACAATTAGCCAAGTTGTAAAAAGGACTACATGACATGTAAACCTACAACAGCAGGAAACAGGACTCGGTGGCCTCAGAAGTGATCAGACTCGCTCGATGTGTATTCTGTTTTCTAAGCTATTGTTATTTTTTGGATGTTTGGAGGGGTTTTGGCAGGAAAAAAGTTTCCTTGTCATTCTGCACTCCTTTGCCAATTTTTGAATGCTTCTACTTGCAGCATGACTTTTCTAGGCACTCCCATTTTTCCTGTGACTTTTCCTTGGGGCAGACACTGTGCTAAGTCGCAAGAACCCTCAGTTTTCTTCACTAAGTCAGAAGCAAGTTCTACTTGCCTTTTCTTTCCTCAGGGCTTCACTTAGAAACATGTACAATTATATTCCCCTGCCTCAGCCATTCACGTGTGGAGGTGCTCAGGTACTAAAACAAATGGCTATAGAAGCACGTAGTGAGGTAAAAGAATTTTTTTAACACTTACAAAAATATGTTTCAGAAATGTTATCCTCCTGTGCACTTGAGAAAGATGCGGCATATCTTGCCTAAGTCACTAGCTTCATGTCAGTGTTTGTGTCTACTGCCTGCACCAGATGTGTAAATCCCACTGGTCATAGAGGGACTGGCTACCACGGAGACTAGGGTACAACGTAAAGTTCACTGTGTTGTATGTAGCGTAACAGTCTGCTCCAGCTCCTAGAACACATGGCAGCCCGCTCTGCAAAAACTGGGAAGGTCAGCAGAGAGATGAGGGGAAACAAGGCTGGAGAGTCCTTGCTGCTCTTGAGAAGCAGCCGCTCCCAACCCCACTGCCAAACCACAGCTGAGGCCAGATGGCTATTCTGACTGCATCTGCTACTCAGCTTGTGTCATAAATCTTCCAAGTGTGCACTACCTGGAAAAAATGCCTTTCTTTACTGATCTTAAAGTGCTTCTGAAATAAACAATATGATATATTAGCACCACTCACGCCTAGCCTGTGGGTGACAGCAATTAGCTTGGCTGATGCTCTTGGATAAACCAAGAGCTTCCTTCAGTTGGGCTGCACACTCACCTCCACATGTTTTATAGGAGCAGTAATTTACATGTAAGTGATGTTTGAATATTCATACTTTCAGAGTAAATTATTTCATACAAGACCGAGTCTCACAAAACTTAGTGACTTTTCCAACTGTTAACTAATTTCACTTACTTGCATATGTATTTGAGGAGGTTGTAGTTGGCTTGGGGCAAATTCTTCACCTGTTTAACCAGTTCCTGGGTACCCTGAGGAACAGGAAAAACAAGAAGGAGAGCTATAAATATAAATGATGCAAAGCACACATGACCTCCTGCAGTACTACAAAGTTCTCTTTCCGGAGTCAAAACTATGAACAATGTGTGATAACACAAGGAGGCTTTCTTTAAATAAATTGGTGACATCCAGTGTGTTGTGCCTTACCAAAATCTCAGTGTCCAGAACTTGACTGAGTTCTCAAAATCAGTGGAAATCCTCCTGTCAACTTTAATGGTTGATGTAGAAGCCTTCAATTAGTGAGGCCTGCCGGTCTTCAAAGTCTGCCCATTGGCTTTGGTGTGAATGCACCAGCAAATGTGCCTTTGCAGCACCCCACCTATTGAAACTTTGAGGCATTCACAGAATCACAGAATGTTAGGAGTTGGAAGGGACCTTGAAAGCTCATCCAGTCCAACCCCTGCCAGAGCAGGATCACCAGACCAGGTCACACAGGAACATGGCCAGGCGGGTTTTGAATGTCTGCAGAGAAGGAGACTCCACAACCTCTCTGGGCAGCCTGGTCCAGTGCTCTGTTACTCTCACAGTAAAGAAGGAGTGGACTCCTTTGCCTTTCAGAGCTGCCTCCC